TATATCCAACAATCCCTCTGCTCCGAAGGCGTATCGTGTGATCTCTTCATGCCTCCAAACATCCTCTTCATTTCATGGAGCGCCGACCACTCACCAGACCCAAAACCATCCACACAATCACTGACTGTGCCAACCCAGCCTCTACCACCAGCATCACCACCACCGCGCCAACTCGACAACGACCTCGAACTCGACATCAACCCCACGGACCCAGTCTCGACCATGAACTTCACCGTGGGTCTCATGCGGTCCAATCCTCGATACAATCATCTCTTTGACGAGAGTGGGACTCCAAGCAAGAAAAAAAACACAGGGAAAAGGACAAAGCATTCCCAGAATCAATGAAGGATCCGGCATCTGCTTTCGAACCAGCTCTTGTTGCCATATGCGTCCTCCTCGGCCGCATCGGTGGTCGATTCATTGTCGACGACTTTGAAGTCATGTGGTGCCACAACTTGTTCAGAACCAAAGTCGTAAAGGCGATTGTGGTCTTTGCGCTGGCATATGTCGGCTCCAGAAGCATAGCCGTGAGCACGCTGTTTGCAACCGCATACTTCATTCTTGGTCCTCGCTCTGCCATCGACGCCAACTCGACGTGCCCAGCATCATTCACATGACTCGTAGCTGATATGTGTGAATAGAGCTATCCCCGATGACTTCGAAATACAGTGTCCGATTGATCGCATGCATTCCGAGCCTTTGACCGATTGTACCCGGAGCCTGACTCAGTCGGTGGACACTAGCATCCTGCGGACCCACTGATGCCAGGAAGGTGGCCGTGGGCTTGGTTGCATCGGTCGGTGACTGAAACTTGAGTATATACGACCCATAAGGCAGATTCACGATACAGGGTGGGGACACACTGTATATTTGCGTGATGATACTGAGCTGCTGGTCGACATAAGCCTTGTTGGCCGCATCCGTTGGGTTCGTGGGCAGGCTCATATCCCGGACCACTCCTCCGGACATGTCGATTGTGCAATTCGTGATACTGCCGTTGTTGAAGAATGCTCCGTCAAAGCCGGCATTGCCGCTAAAGTAGCTGTATGCCATTGTCTGTCCTTCAGTGACCCCTCAAAATGGCAAGCTGAATTTTTTTTGTGTATTGTTATGTAGCACATCCCGCACATCAATTAATGTCCAGTGTTGATACCACCACCTCTACCGAACTCACACCCACTCCGGGATCCATCGCCTCGACCGCCCCCGCCGTTGCTGGTGGTGCCCGCCGAACCAAGCGTCGATCGCGCAGTGGAAAGCGTCATTCCAAGCGATCGAAGGGTGGTAAGAAGAGCTTCAGTGGTCGCAAGGGTTCTCTCGGTAAGCGCAGACGATCAAAGTCTAAGTCTGGCCGAGGCCATGGTCATTCCCTCGTTCGCTACAGCAGCACCAAGGACCTGAACAACCACCATCACTACCGCAACTCCGTCGCAAGGTCTGGCGGCAAGAAGAAGAGCAGGGTTAGCGTCCACAAACAACACGGCAGAGGCAGTGGCCGCAAAAGCAGAATCAGCAGACAACGCGGCAGAGGTAGTGGTAAGAAGTACCACAAGCACTCCAAGCGCCAGCCTGGTGGTAAAAAGTCTTCCAAGAAGCGACGAAGCAGCAAGCGCAAGGGTAAGCGCGGTGGTAACGGTGGTTGCCCGGTCGATGCCAACGGTCGAGTCGATTTTGCCTGCCCCATCTGCGGCAAGACCCACAAGCTGTCGTCCAACCAGTTCCACATTGAATCCATCCGCGTGCCTTCCGGCGATGGTGCTGATCGATACCAGAGCCAGATTGTCGTCCCCGTCTGCCCCGGATGCGGAACCCAGAACCTCCGCCAATTCTGCTCTTCCGCTTGAAGGAAAAAAAATGTCTGTGTAAAGTAATAGCCATCCCTCCGAACGTCATCGCGCTATCATGAGTTCTGCCTTGATGTACATTTTCATTATCGCTACCATCGCGGGTGTCCTGTTCTACCAGTCTTATGCCCAGCAGGCGGCCACCACAACCGAAACGTTCTCGCCGCTGGCAGCGTGGGCTCCAGCGGCGCCTGCCCCGGATGCCTCTGGTCCGGATGCGGCCACCATTCCTTCCATCGACCAAGTCCAATCTCAGGGCCTCCAAACCGGCGTCTCTACCGCTCTACTCGACCACCCCGACGACCCAGCCTTCCAGCAGAACTTTTTGTTCAACCAGTTCTCGTCCGGCATCACTCTCAGCCAGCCCAAGAAGTGGAACAACAATGACATTCGCGGCTCGCTTCCCCCGCCCCAGAATGTCGTCAGCCCGTGGCTCCAAAGTACTACCGAACCCGATATGCTCAGGAAGCGCCTTGAGGTGGTTTAGCAACTTTTTTTTCTCGCCTATTCGGTAGCTAACCAACCATGTCTCAGAGCCGATTCAGCAAGCTGTATGCCCATGATCCCTACTCGATCGTCTACCAGACCGTGGACGTCCCTGTCCGTGATTTGATTGCACCCAAGGTCTTTACTCCCGTCTCTGGCTCGACCGTCCAGCTTACCAATGCTCGCGCACTGGTCACTCCCTCTGGCACCTTGGCCGCTCTCACCATCGCCCTTCCCCAGTACCCTGTCGATGGCCAGATTCAGAACGTCACTATCACCCAGTCGATCACTGCCCTGAGCATCACCGGTGGCTCGCTTGCTGCCGGCTCGGCCCCTACCGCCATCGACACCACCAACGGTGCGGTCACTCTGCATCTGATTTTCTCTGCTCAGCTTAACAAATGGGTCAAGATCTGAGCGAAACCGATTCCCAACACACTTCTACCCCCGCGGCGGCTGACTTGGTTCACACCGCCGCCAAACACGCACTGCAGCATTTTCGCAGTTTCGCTCACGACTTGCTCGAAACTGTAGACCAACTGCCCGAAAATACCCGTTGGAATCTGCTCTGGACCAGTCGCCCGGTCCTGCTCTTCATGCTCTATGTTTTCATCTCTCTGTCTTTTTTTCTCATCCTCTAGTCAGCAATACAGTTACCCATCCACCAAATGGCCACCATCCTTCAGTCCGCTGACCGTCTCATCAACCAGAGTCTCGCCGTGCTCGATAACAAATGGGTTAGCGGTTTCTTGCGTCTCTTCCTGTTCCTGTACGGCGGCTTTGCCGCTCCCAAACTCACTGCCAGCGCCACTGTCGTCTTCGAGAACCCCATCTTCCGCGTCCTTGTCTTCTTCCTGATCATCATCGTGGCCAACAAGGACTTTGCCCTCTCGCTGCTGCTCACCTTTGTCTTCTTCACCAGCACTTGGTACATTGAGAACAAGCTGAATGCTTCCGGGTCTACGAGCTCCAGCATCGGCACTGGCTTGAGCTCGAGCGGCCTCTTCGGCAGTAGCAGCGTCGCACCCAAATCCAGCTCGGTCGTTGCCCCGACGGCGGTTTCCGTCACAGTGCCTCCCAGATACACATCCTTCAGTCAGAACGGTGATTCAATCCCCGGCTACGACGAGAACGATGTGCCGTATGCTGCGTTCTGATCACCCAATGGAAAACCAGGCCCTCACACAACCATCCACCGCAATGACCGCACCAGTAGACTGCTGCTTCTTTGAGCTCACCCATTTCAAGCCATTCCTCCTCTATCTTGACGACTGTCAAGACTGGACAACGGGGCAAGCAGGGAAGTGCGCAAGAGTCCTAATGCAAGACTCGAACGTAGGGAGAGGAGCGGGGACTGGACTGGGACACAGAGTGTCAAGTGTGAAGCCAAAGTTTTATTCTAGATCCAAGGCTTAGGATACTAAAAATACAAAGTGGCAAGACGAAGGCAAAAGACAGAGGCTGGTCGGAGGGCTATTTATGCGAGCGCCAAGGATCGACGCTGCAGAGCGAGGGGGCAGGAGCGAAGCAGCGGCGGGGAGGGCGAAGCAGCGAGCGAAGCAGGTGGCGGCCGTGACTCGGGATCCGTGAGTCAGCGGGCGTCAGTGGCGGCGGCTTGGCGGCGCCAAGGCGTCAGGCGGCGTCGAGGCGGCGTCGTGGGCGTAACCCATGACCAACAGCAAGGGAGCGGGAACGGAACACAGGCAGCGCGCGTGCTTGCGGTAAGACAACAAGGCAGCACAGCGCGGGAAACAAACAAACAGAAGGAAGGGAAAGCACTAAGACAGGCAAACAGAAAGGAAAGGGCAAGGGTAAAGGAAGGAAGAGGGCAAAGGCAGAGGGTGTTCATGACACTACCCCCCTCTCAAGGCCCGAGCTCCGAGAGGGCCAGGCTTCGAGGGATGAGAGGAGTGGTAGGCAGCGACAGGCTCCGGACAATGTGCAAGATTGCTGGCGGGCTCCCAGGTGCAATCCATCACCGTGTAGCCACGCCAGTGCACAAGATACTGGAGCTTACCTCGGAACAGCCTGGAGTCCAGGATCTGTTCGACTTCCCATTCGTCGTGGCCGTCGACTTGGATGGGTGGAGGGGGCGGGATCGTTCGACCTGGGATCTTGTCGTCGGCGGCAGGCTCGAGCAGGGAGACGTGGAAGACAGGATGAATGCGCATGGACGAGGACAAGTCCAACTTGAAAGCGCGGGAACCGACTTGAGCGACGATCTTGAACGGCCCAAGCTTGGTGTGGTCGAGCTTGGCCGTGGGTCGCTGGGTCTTGATGTTCTTGGCGGAGAGCCAGACTCGGTCTCCAACCTTGAACGGAGGGGAAGGGGAGTGGCCGGGGTCGTAGAACTTGGCTTGGGAGTCCTGGGCGAGGGCGATGTTGAACTTGAGTTCATCGTGGAGGGAGTGAATGGCTCGGGCTTGATCGTCGGCGACGGAGGCATTCTTGGTGGTGCGGGGAAGGGCGACGGAAAAACGAGGGTGGTAGCCGGTGTAGGCAAAGAAGGGGGAGCAGCCGAGGGTTGCTTGAGAGGTGTTGTTGTAGGTGAATTCGGCGTGAGGGAGGAGCTGGGCCCAGTCGTCTTGCTGGAAGTTGATGAAGCAGCGGAGGTACTGCTCGAGGATGGCGTTGACCCGCTCGGTCTGGCCGTCGGTCTGCGGATGGAAGGCAGTCGACATCTTGTGCTTGATCTTGAGGCGGGTCAGGACGGCTTGGAAGAACTTGGAGGCAAAGGTAGATCCTCGGTCTGAGACGATATCGTCTGGAAGACCGTGCTTGGTGAAGACGTGCTCGACAAACATCCGAGCAGTGTCCTCGGCGTTGGCCTCGTTGCTTGACGGGACGAAGTGGGCCATCTTGGTGAAGCGGTCGACAAACACACAGATGGCTGTGTGTCCAGAGGACTCGGGAAGCTGGGTGATGAAGTCGACCGAGACTGAGGACCAAGGGCGATCGGGAACAGGGAGCGAGGCAAGGAGTCCGTAGGGCTTGTGACGGGAGTGCTTGTTCCGCTGGCAGGTGTCGCATCCGGAGACATACTCCTTGATGTAACGACGCATGGTCGGCCAGTGGAAGGTCCGGGAGACGAGCTCGAAGGTCTTGGCGACGCCGAAGTGGCCGGCAGTCGGCGAGTCGTGGCACTCGACGAGGATCTTGCGCTTGAGCTCGGGGACATCGGGGACGCAGACGAGACCTTCAAAGAGCAGAAGGTCGTTGTCGACGGAGTAGCCGGGACAGGAGGCAGGATTCTTGAGGACTTGGGACAGGATCGGACCAAAGGTAGAGTCCTTCTTGAGGCTTGACTTGATGAGGACGGCGATATCCTCGGACTCGGGGGCAACAGGAACAGCTCGGAGGGCGGAAACGAAGAGTTTTGGTGGCAGCAGGGTCTGGGTGTTCGGGGAGCTACGGGAGTCACCCCCCTCCTTAGGGAACTTGTCCTTGCGGGAGAGGGCGTCGGCGGCATTGTTGAGGGTTCCGGGTCGATACCTGATGACGAAGTTGTAATCGCCAAGGATCTCGGACCAACGGACTTGGCGACGGCTGAGGTTGCGGGAGGTCTGGAAGTATTCGAGGTTCTTGTGGTCGGTGACGACCTCGGTGGCTTGGGAGGAGAACTCGAGGTAGTGTCTCCATTGTTTGAAGGCTGCGACGATGGCGAGAAGTTCCTTATCATAGATTTGATAATTCATTTCTGCATCGAGCAGCTTCCGGGAGTAGAAGGCCACGGGGTGGAGGAGGCCTTCGTCGTCGCGCTGACTGAGAACAGCACCAAGAGCATAGTCAGATGCGTCGGCTTCGATGACGCACTGACGCTCGGGGTCGAAGTGGCGGAGGACAGGACCGGTGCTCAGGCATTCCTTAAGCTTCAGGAATGACGTTTGAGCCGAGGGAGACCAGGAGAACTTGATGTCCTTCTTCAGGAGGTCCGTCAGCGGGGTGGCGATCTTGGAGTAGTCCTTGACGAACCGACGGTAGAAGTTCGCCAGGCCGAGGAAGACTTGGATGTCGTGGGCAGATCGGGGAATCTCCCACTCCTGGATGGCCTTGACCTTGTCGGGATCCATGGAGATTCCATCGGGCGAGATGATGAACCCGAGGAAGGCGACGGAGGACTGGTCGAACTCACACTTTTCAAGCTTAAGTGAGAGTCCGGCGTCTTGGAGCTTGGTCAGGACTTTCTTGACATGAGCCTCGTGCTCGGCAGGATCGGAGGAGTAGATGAGGATGTCGTCCAGGTAGACGACCACGAACTGGTCAAGGTATTCTCGGAGGACATCGTTGACGAAGGCTTGGAACGAGGCAGGAGCGTTGGTCAAGCCGAACGGCATGACGTTGTACTCGAAGTGGCCGTAGCGACAGCGGAAGGCCGTCTTCCACTCTTCACCTTCAGCGATGCGCAAGAGGTTGTATGCGCCTCGCATGTCGAGCTTGGTGAAGATCTTGGCCTTGCCGAGGTTGTCGAACGTCTCGGCAATCAGGGGCAAGGGACAACGGTTCGGCACGGTGATCTTGTTCAGGGCCCGGTAGTCGACGCAGAGACGGAGGGAGCCATCCTTCTTCTTGACGAACAGGACTGGGGCACCGGCAGGGGACTCGGAACGGCGGATGAAACCCTTGGACAAGTTCTCTTGGATGTAGGTGTGGAGGGCGTCCATCTCCGGCTTGGAGAGGTTGTAGACGGGCCCAAACGACGGGGACGCACCTTCGACCAACGGGATCGTGTGGTCGTAAGGGCGGTGCTGGGGGAGCTTGTCGGCCTCGGACTTGGAAAACACCTTGGCAAAGGACGAGTACTTGGAGGGGACAGAGGGCTCGGCCTTGGGCTTGGCTCCAGCGTCGACGGAGCAGAGGGACAGGACTCGGGCAGCATCCAAGAGGAACACTTCCAGGCCTTCCTTCTGGACGGCGTGCTGGAAGGGGATGCTGCCGATCAGGCTGACGCTGGGCAGGGACTGGGTCTTGGTCTTGGTCTTTGGGACGGCAGGAGGCAAGGCAGGACTGGGCTTGGGCACGGCAGGAGGCAAGGCAGGACTGGGCTTGGGCACGGCAGGAGGCAAGGCAGGGAGGATCTCGGGCTCGGCTGGGGACTCGGCTGGGGACTTGGCAGGAACGATCTTGGACTCGGGCAGGGACACGGCAGGCTCGGCGGGGACCTCAGCAGGGGACTCGGCAGGCGGCTCGGCAGGGCTGGACCTAGAGGACTGTGGCTCGGGAGAGAACGGGGAGGCCAAACTGTGGATAGAGGTGCAAGGCAAGAAAATAGAGTCATGGTGCCAGTCAAAGTAGGGCTTGTGTTTCTTGATCCAATCCATACCCAAGATGATCGGGTATGAAGCCAAGGGAATCAGCGCGAACGAGATTTGTTCATAGTGGCTGATGCCTGTGATCATAGAAACACAAACTCCAAGACTAGACTCCATCGAAGAACCATCGGCAAGAGTGATGACGAAAGAAGTTGCAAAGGTGGGGAGAGCGTGGGTTGCGGCGAATCCAGTGTCCATAAACGAAGTAACCGCGCCGGTATCGATCATGGCGGTTGCCCGTATGGACTCTGGACCGCACAGCAGAGTCACAGCGAGGGAGGGCTGACGTTGGATGTCAGGCTCGGGAGGCGAAGACGAAGAAGCAAGAGCAGTGGAAACGGTGGCAATGGTGACGGGGGCAAGATGGCAAAAGGCAGAAGAGTGATTTACCGTGGAGACATTTACAGGAGGAAGATTTATGACATGATTGACGCCTAGGAAAGCTCCTCCGACCTTTTCTAGGCAGAGAAGTTTTCCTGGTCGTCAAGTTTATTCACATCAACGACAGCCAAAGAAGCATCGATGGCAGCCAAGCGGGAGGATGCCTTATTGGGGCAGCGAAGGGCAATGTGCCCTTCCTGCTTGCAATAAAAGCAGCGGTTGGCAGCACGGAGGGCGGCCTTGTCCTCGGCGGTCAGCCTGCGAGCGGAGGCCTGGCTGAGGTCCATGGGCTGCGGAACGTTGAAGGCTTGAGCGGGGCGAGGAGGAGGAGCAGGAGCGAAGGGACGAGGAGCCGGACGGAAAGGGAGAGGAGCCGGACGAGCAGGAGCAGGAGCAGGAGCGGAGCGGTGGTTGGGACGGCGGGAGCGTTGGTCCTCCTGGCGGTTGTCGATGGCGATCGCCGCTTGCATGAGATCTTCGAGGTTGTCGAAGGAGCGGCGGGAGAGTTCATCTTGAACCGAGGGCTTGAGTCCACTCTCGAAGTGGAACATGAGAGGGTCTTGGGACCAAGTGACGAGGTGGACGGCTTGGCGGCGGTACTCGGCGGCATAGGCGGCGGCGGAGGTGACTTGGTAAAGCCTGACCATCTCGCGAGCAGCGGCGATGGTGGGCTGGACCTGGCCAAAGGCAGCACGGAGCCACTCGGAGAAACCGGCAAAGTCACGGATGGCAGGGGGAGAGCACTCGGGGTCTCTCTCCAACTGATCGATGTACGGCTGCATGTAGTCTGCAGCAGTACCATCGAGATAGGATAAGGCGTAGAACACCTTATCCCTTTCAGTCTGGAAGAGGGGAGGGTTGGACACGAAGGCCAGTCTGCAATGCGAGAGGAAGGCATTGCAGCGGCTCGGGTCCTTACCAGAGAAGCGATCAGGGGGACCTATCTGCCTGGTGGCAGAGTTGCGACCAGCAGGGTTGTCCTCGGGGTCTTGGGCAGGATCATCGACGTCGTCAGGAACGCCGAGGTAGGGGCGACCTGCACGACGGATCGGGGCGGGAGCGGGAGCAGGAGGAGGTAGCTGGGCCTGGTAGCTGCGGAGGGCCTCCTGGACACTGGCGGCGACAACTTGGCGGACATCCTCTTCACGGCGAGCCAGGACCTGGTCCATACGATCGGTGATGCGGTTGAGCGCATCATCCTGATCGTGGAGGAACTTGGAAAAGTCCTGGAGAGAACGGGCGTTCTCGGCGGACTGGATAATGACCGCACGGATGGCCTGGAGCTCGGGCTCGGAAAGGCCAGAAGGGGAAGCCATTGGTAAAAGAGATAGAGAAGGGGACGGGGCAAAGGCAGGGCAAGTGGGGGGTTGTTGAAGGTCTTGCCAAGTGTCAAGACTGGACAACGGGGCAAGCAGGGAAGTGCGCAAGAGTCCTAATGCAAGACTCGAACGTAGGGAGAGGAGCGGGGACTGGACTGGGACACAGAGTGTCAAGTGTGAAGCCAAAGTTTTATTCTAGATCCAAGGCTTAGGATACTAAAAATACAAAGTGGCAAGACGAAGGCAAAAGACAGAGGCTGGTCGGAGGGCTATTTATGCGAGCGCCAAGGATCGACGCTGCAGAGCGAGGGGGCAGGAGCGAAGCAGCGGCGGGGAGGGCGAAGCAGCGAGCGAAGCAGGTGGCGGCCGTGACTCGGGATCCGTGAGTCAGCGGGCGTCAGTGGCGGCGGCTTGGCGGCGCCAAGGCGTCAGGCGGCGTCGAGGCGGCGTCGTGGGCGTAACCCATGACCAACAGCAAGGGAGCGGGAACGGAACACAGGCAGCGCGCGTGCTTGCGGTAAGACAACAAGGCAGCACAGCGCGGGAAACAAACAAACAGAAGGAAGGGAAAGCACTAAGACAGGCAAACAGAAAGGAAAGGGCAAGGGTAAAGGAAGGAAGAGGGCAAAGGCAGAGGGTGTTCATGACAACGACACACCTCGTCTCTACGACGGCGAGACCGTCACCTTTCTCGATATCGATATCGAGAAATCACACACTCCTACGACCCGAAACCGAAACCGAGACCGGGGTGTATTCATTGTCGAGATATGGGAGACCATCAATCGCCCCAAACTGCTCGTATTCAGAGACTGCATCACCCATCCAAGCTTTGATCTCCTCGAGCGCCGCCAGCAGATCGCAGCAACGATCGCCGCCAAGGATGTGCGCGAGTATCAGTGTATCGTATCCCCCCTCTTCCACTGTGCGACCAACATCCGATTCGTCCTCTGCAATGCACCAACCAACGTCAGCGGCTTTTGCATCACTCCGCGCTTTCAACGACCGGCTGGTCTGGACATGCCGCAACTGCCCGACCCACGTGTCTCCCACACCATTGAAATCGAGTTCAGTGAATGCGGCGGAGATAACCCCGAGGCCTATCGGGTTGTGCATGAGCAACGTGGATCCCGCCGGTTCTTGCGCCTTCCCGATCTGGGTGCGTGCAAGGGGGTCGCCGCGGCGTTCGAGGCAGCTTCGCCCAAGAAACGCATATATATCCAGGCCCGCTTCGATCCGGTCTGGATGTCTTGGACACCTCTGCTCATCTGAGACCTCCAAAATGGATTCCTTCGTTCACCTCACCACCGTCACCTGCCAGGACACTGCACAATCCAAGATTCGTAACATCTACCAGGTCTACATCAACGCTGCCGATCTCAGCGGACCTACACCCAAGAGTGATCTCAAGGCCCAATGGCACCAGTTCTTCAAGGTCATGACCACTTGCGTCTCCCCAGTGGAAATCGTTGCACAGGTCACCGAGCGCACCCTCGCAGCAGCTACCCGCATCGGCATCGACACTATCGACGATCAGGTTGCCGTCGCTCGAGTCCGTCTTGAGCCTGCCTTCTTTGACCAATACTTCAAGCACCTTCGTACCGAGCCCCTAGACGACAAGGAGAACACTCTCGGGTTGATCAAGGCCATGTTTTCGATCAAGGGATGGGGAGCCGCCACCAAACGCTCGGCTCAAGGTTTCCGAACGATCAAGGCACTCGAGGACAAGGGTCACATCCCCTCCATGATCGCCATGATCGAGCATTACATCGCGGCCGAGAAATACATCAATGTATTCGAGCTCAGCACCAAACTCGCAGCCAAGGGTAACATCCAGGGCCATCACTTCCTGGGCTGGACTCATTTCCATGGCAAGGGAACTCCCCAAAACTACACACTCGCAGTCAAGCATTTCAACATTGCCGTCGGGTCCAACCACCGCTGCTCCCAGAAGATCCTCGGCGACTGCCATTTTTACGGCCTCGGTGTCGCCCAGAGCTACCAAGTCGCCTTTGCCTTCTACCTCTGTGCCGGCCTCGCTGGAGATCCAGAAGCAGCCTTCCAGCTGGGTGAACTCTACAAGAACGGCCTTGGAATCGATACCGACGTCAAGAGTGCTCTCCTGTGGTACGACCTGGCCAGCAACGGTGGAAACATCGATGCCTGTCGGACCCTGGGTGAGATCTACCTCACCGGCACCATCGCCCCTGCCGACGCCACCAAGGCTGTCAAGCTCTTGCAGACCGCTGCCGATGCGAAAGATCCAAAGGCGTGCTACTTGATGGGTGAAATCTACCATTACGGCCGCCACGGAGTCGAAAGGGATTACACCAAGGCGACACCCCTCTTCCACATTGCAGCCCTCTCTGGACAAAACTCGGATGCCGAGTACATTGTCGGCTACTTGCACGAAAACGGCATAGGCTCGACCAAGGACCTTCGTAAGGCGGTTTATTGGTACAAAAAGTCTGCCAACAACGACAACCCAAACGGCCGGTTCGGGCTCGCTCGGATGATGCTCAAGGGAGCTGGTGGCATCAAGAAGAATGTCCAGGGTGCGATCGATACCCTCGTTGCGTCGGCAGCACAAGGTCACCCTGGTGCTTCCTACGTTCTTGGCACTCTCTGGGAAACCAAGGCCATTACCGAGCCAGGCAAGGATAATTACCAAGAAGCTATACACCTCTTCACCGTCGCAGCCAACGGTGGCTATCACGAAGCTCAAGCCCGCCTTGGCAACATATACTTCCAGGGAGACCGAGTCTCCGTGGACTTTGCCAAGGCATTCAAGCTTCTTTTGGCCGCAAGCGATTCGGACGAAGACAATGTCATCAAACAGACTCACAATCTCGGCGAGTGTTATCTGCATGGCTTCGGGGTCCGTCGCGATGTCCCCATGGCCATCGTTGCTTTTGAGCGCGCAGCCAACGCTGGAAACACCGAGTCCCAGTATCAGCTCGGCGTCATCCATACCCGTCCTGGGTCGTATGGATGGTATACCGACTACAATATCGCAGCCAAATGGCTCACTATGGCGAGCACCAAGAACCACGCCGAAGCCCAGTTTGAACTCGCCGAACTCCATTTCTACGGCCGAGGCATGACGGAGCCCGATACGAAAACCGCCATTGTACTCTATCAAAAGGCCGTCGATAACAACTGCGAGAAGGCTCAGTTTATTCTTGGCTTTCGTTATTCTTTTGGCGCTAATGACATTCCAAAAGACCCATCTACGGGCTTGGAGTACCTCAAGCAGGCACACGCCAGAGGTCATTCAAATGCCACTGCCGCCATTGGAATGCATCATTATTATGGTACTGCTGGCTGCACAAAGGACTGTGAGAGAGCACTTACCCTCTTCAACGACAGCGCTGCCCGCGGCTCCGCTCTCGGTCACTTTTGGGTCGGTATGTTCTTCTACGGTGGTGTTGTTGTGGATCAAAACTTTGATATCGCTTACAGCCACTTTACCAAAGCTGCTTGCATGAGATTTGCACCAGCGTTCAGAGCTATTGCACGTTATCATGAACTTGGGTTGGGTGGATTCCCAGTATGCTTGTTGAGTGCTCGAGACCGCTACCGCACGGCCGCCCGTCTAGGTGACACCGGTGGTGCTGAAAAATTCAAGGCCTTGTCTGCTCAGCTTCATGTTTGCGATTCCTTCGACCCTATCGATGAGATTGACCCATTCACTGAATAAAGGTTTGAGTCCTTACACCGACAGGACCTGTACATGATAAGTAATCGTGGCACCGGAAGGCGAGTTGGCCAGTGTCTGGAATCCCAGAGTGGGCTGGCCGTTCGCAGGCCATGTAATCTCTAGCGACTCACCATTCGATCCCTTTGCACTGCTGAGTCGTTGCACGGTGCCAGAGATACCAGAGCGAGCACTCATGATGAAGGTGGCAGCCGCTCCGCTGGACACATTGTCACGGACAAGGATCATGTAGCTGCCGTGAGTGGTGGTACCGGAAATGACCGTTGAGCTCGAGGGGGTCGTACCGTCGTCCTTCATGGCAATGTCAGAAGTGACGGGCACGGTGTTACCGTTGATCGAGTTGATTCCAGTCACGGCACCTGATGTGGAGATGTTAACCGCTCCATTAATGGTAACTCCGGCTCCGGGGGTAAGCTCGTTGACCGCATCGGTCTGCACAGAGTCATCCGCAATCAGCTTCTTGGCATGGAAGGTGCCGCGAGAGATCAACCCGGCTTTGGAGTGGTAGGTGGGGTCGTTAGGAGTGAAACCCACCTGGAACTCGTCAGTGGTCTCGATCCAAGCGGACACGGCATAGGTCTTGTAGTAGAGGCCGTAGACTGAAGTGTTGTCGGGTTGAGTGACCCATGCCGTTTCGACCGTGGCGATCTTGGTGGTGGCATCAAAGCCAGTGATCTGGCGGATACCACCGGTACCGGTGCCACTCATGATCCGAATCCACCAGTTTTTGTAGTAGTCGGTGGCAGCAGTGTCAGACGCAGCGAGCGTGATAGTGGTGCTGCTGGTCGAGCCCTGGGCAGTTCCGCTAAGATCGGGAGTGGCGTTAGTGACATCACCAGCACCGGTCTCGCTGTCCGTTTGGTATCGCTGCATGACGATACCCACATCCGAGAGCGAGGCAGGAGCGGCGTTCAAGAGAATCCAATTGTCGTTCACTGTGAGCGTCTGACTCGTAATAGTGGTCGAGGCACCAAGCACAGTGAGGTTGCCCTGGACCGTGGTGTTGCCGCTAACGTTCACGTTTCCGCCGACATTGAGGTTCTTGGTAATCTCAGCTCCTCCTGCAACCTGAAGAGCACCGCTGGTCAGATTGGTCGAGTCAGTAGTATTGGTGAGGCTGATGATACCGGCAAAGCTCGAGTTATCACCGACACCGATGCCTCCAGAAACGACGAGCGCACCGGTCGAGGGGCTGGTGGACGCCGTGGTGTTGGTGAAGCTGACGGCATTGGAAGCAGTGAAGGTAGAGCCAGTGAACTGGACATTTCCCCATGCATTGAGGTTGTTCAGGGTCGAGAGTCCGGTCACGCCGAGCTTCTGAGTGGTGACGGTCTGGGCACACCCAATGCCACCCGCAACGATCAGCGCTCCACTCGTGGTGTTGGTCGAGTCGGTAGTGCTGTCGAGCGTGACAGTGCTAGCGACTTCGAGAGTGCTGCCCAAATACGTCGATCCACCAGCCGAAATGCCGCCAGAGACAACGAGTGCACCCGCAGTCGACGTACCGGGAGTGGTGTCGGTAATGGTCACTGTTCCGGTCGAAGTGATTTGGGTGGTGAACAGGCGGTGGAGCCAGGCATCTTGCTGGACCGAGAGACCTCCGGCTGTCTTAAAACTCCCAGTGGTGTACGAAGTGGCATTGGTGGTGTCAGTGATGGAGATCACGCCGTTAAAAACCGACCCACCGTTGATCGTGAGGGCACTGACCGAGTCGGTGGTGTTGATGGTGAGCCGGCCGTTGAAGTACGAGTCATTGCCGGCATAGATACCACCAGCGACACTAAGAGCACCAGAGTTGGCAGTGGAGGTGGCCGCAGTGGTCGAGCCAATGCGGACAACGTTAGCAATAGTGAGGTCACCGAGACCATAGTCCACTGTGGACGATCCCGGCAAAATGTCTACATTACCGTTGTAGACGACGTTCAAGTAGGTTGGATCAGCTGCCATAGAAGAAAATAAGTTGGCTACTCATTGCACAAGGAATTTTTTTCATCCAGGGTCAGTTTTCCGGGTCGCTCTCCATGCGTCGATCCATTCCCACCTGCCTACTTGCCTGTCGTGTTTGTCGCCCAGACCAAGTTTGTCCCGTTGTAGATGACCAGGTTTCCGTCGTTTTGCATCGTGAGCGCCGTAACTGGTCGTCCATCGGTATGTGAGACCCACAGAGGCTTCTTGGCGCTGTCGAATACGACCAGATTGCCATCGTTTTGAAGCGTCGCTGTATACGGTCCTGTTCCCTGACCACTCGTTCCGGTCGACCATGTGGAGGCACCGGTTTTGTTGTTGTATACCACGAGGTTCCCATCCTGCTGCATAACCAAAGCGTACGAAGAATCCGGTGAGGATAACACAGCACACGACGCCATACTCGTACCTGGTGACAATGACGAATTGGTCGATGCAGCGGCACTGAACGGCATCCCCGCAGCACTGCACTGCGAATACACCGATGCGGGAGCTGCCAGCTTGCTGATGTACAGGTTTTGATTTACAGCCCCTGGAGTGCATGCAGCCAGATCAAGCACTGTACCATTTGTCCTGGTATTGCCTTGCAAATCAAGACACTTGGTGCTGTCGGGTCCCCATGTCCATGTCGATCCACTGCTCGTGTTGTTCGTCCAGGTTTGCGACTGGTCCGTGATATCACACGTCTTGATAACAATGGCGCTGCCTGCTGCAGCACTCGTTCCACCGGTTGGAGCGAGACACTTCATGCTGGTTTGGTCAATGAGACGCTGGTTAGTGCTGTCGTATCCAAAGTTTTGTCCTGCTCCATTCGAGTAATCCCAGTAAACCACAGCCGTACCATCGGCCGTCTGCCCACCGGATACCTCCAAACCTCGCGAGGCGTTGTCGCTCGTATGGAACATACCATACATTGGCGCACCAAAAGTCGGCTGTGAAACGGACCCGACTCCGCTTGTAGCAGGAGCGGTGCGGATTGGATAATACGATGCGAGTGCGTTGCGGTAGTAGCCCATACCCGCACCACCAAGAGCGATTGCGGAGCATATGCATGCGACCACGATGACAATAATGACGATCAAGATGCTCATTGTGGTGTGCTCACCAAGAGATTTGTCGTTCTGCTTTGTGGTTTCATTTTTTTTCGAGTATCGGTGCTTTCGAGTTTGCAATCATTCGATTCCACAGGGACTGGCTTCAATTGCCTACTGTAACGTCCACTACTGGGACGTTGGGGCAAGACGGGGAGGGAGGGGGTACAAGACAAGACAGGACGGGGCAGAACAGGGCGGTGCTAGGCTACTCTAGCGGACGGGTGAGCTCGGGGAGCACTTACGTTTATTCACGATAAAACCGAACTCCAGACAAACGGGGGGAACGGGGGCAACCCGCAGGTATACCCTGCGGTGGCCTGCCTGCGGTGCGTGAAAACGCAAAGCGCAGCACAGGTCACGACCCACTGCGCCGCGCAGTACGCGCAGTACGCGCAGCACAGCGTCGGAGATACCATCTCCTACACTCCCACACTTAAGAAGGCTTCCTGCGAGGAGCCCTGCGTGTGCTCTTTATTTGGGGCTCCTCGAGGTGTTTACCGTATTTACTCAGCTCCTCGGGTGCATGGGACAAGTCCTCCAGTGTTTGCCATGTGTTGCCCGAGTGTGGGTAACCAACCCACTTGACATAAAACCGAAGTGACCCATCAGCCACTTTCTTGTGCCTCACGATCCTTTCGACTTCATATTCTTGAGTATAGTATTGTCCGAGGTCGTCTTCCAGTGGTGCGTCGTCCGGGACACCTTCGTCGGCGTCGGGGAACTGTGCTGGACTGCGGGTCGTGTGGCGACGCAGCTTGGACACATGGAAGACAGGATGGAGCTTGCTTCCAGGTGGCAAGTCCAACAGGTAGTTGAGGGGACTGGGTCGGGCCGCTATCTTGAACGGTCCTCGGTACTTGGGCAACAACTTCTTTGACTGGGCTTCGGGGACCTTGATGTTGTCGGCGTCCAGGTAGACAAGGTCTCCAACTTCAAAGGAGACATCCTGGTGTCGGCGGTCGTAGTACTTCGCCATCACTTGTTGCGCATCCGTGAGCGCGTCGGCGATCATCTTGTGTCGGACTTGATGATCTTTGACAAAGGCACTTGGTTTGGGAGGCAATCCAGCCGTGGACTCGGTCAGTGTCAAGGAGGTGGGAACATCAGGCTGGAATCCGTAGAGCGCCTCAAAGGGGCTCAAGCCAGTTGTGCTCGACTTGGCGGTGTTGTATGCAAACTCTGCATGACTCAGCTGTATGTCCCAGTCGTCTTGGCTGGTCGAGGCGTATGTCCTCAGGTATTGCTCGAGGGTGCGGATCGTCCGCTCGGACTGTCCATCCGTTTGTTGGTGGTGCGAGGTTGACATGTTCAGCTTGGTGCCGAGATGGTCGAACAGACTTGTCCAAAACAAGGAGGTGAATCGGGGGTCTCGATCACTGACGATGGACTTTGGGAGGCCGTGGTGCTTGAACACATGCTTGAAGAACAGCAGTGCAAGGTCAGGCGCGGAGCATGTCGTCTGGCACGGCACAAAGTGTGCCATCTTGCTGAACCTGTCGACAAAGACAGCGATTGCATCGTGGTCCAACTTGGTCGTCGGTAGATGCGTGATGAGATCCATGGACATGCTGGTCCAGGGGCGGTCGGGAACAGGCAGGGGTTGCAGCAATCCTTGCTCTCGGGTCGTGCGTGACTTGACCATCTTGCAGGTATGGCAGGACTCGATGTACTTCTCGACGGTGCGCTTCATTCCAGGCCAGTATGCGACTTTGGCCAGTCGGTCGTATGTCTTCTCGACTCCAAAGTGTCCAGCGAGGGGCGAGTCGTGGACCTCTTGGAGCAACTTGGTCTTCAACGACGGAATGTCCGGCACACAGACACGGCTGTCCTTCTTCAGGAGGAGCAGGCCATCACGCACTGTGTACTCGGATGATTCGTCGTCCTTGGGGAGCTTAGACACCTTTCGGAACAGTTCTCCGAACTGTTTGTCGTTGGCGATGTTGTCTCGGACAACATCCAGCATCGTGTTGTCGACACTGACAGTCGACTCGTACAGTGACGCCAATTGGTAGTCGGGGCGTCGGGACAGTGCGTCAGGCACCACATTGAGTTTGCCTTTCTGGTATACAACCTCGTAGTTGTACTCGGCGAGGAACTCCATCCATCGCGCTTGGCGTCGGCTCAGGTTCTTCTTGGTGTCGAGGTAACGCAGTGACTGGTGGTCCGTCACAATCTTGAAGGGCTTGGCGGTACCGTGGAGGTACACTCGGAACTTCTGCAGCGCGTAGATGATCGCAAGCTGCTCCTTCTCGTGCACGGGATAGTTGATCTCGTGTTGGGACAGTTTGCGCGACTCGAAGGCAACGGGCCTTCCCTCCTGCATCAAAACAGCTCCCACCGCAAGGTCGGAGGCGTCGGTGTGCACGGAGACATCCGTGTTCGGGTCGAACACAGCGAGGACAGGAGCGTTCGTCAAGGCGTGCTTGAGGGTCTCGAACGCTTGGCGTTGTGGGTGGTCCCACACGAAGGGGCACTCTTTGCGGAGTAGGTCTGTGAGTGGACCGGCAGTGCGCGCCAGATCGGGGATGAATCGGCGGTAGTAGTTGACGAGACCGAGAAACGACTGCACGTCAGAGACGCATGCGAGCGGCGGCCACTCGACCACAGACTTGACCTTGGCGGGGTCGACTTCGATTCCTCTTCCTGAGACAACGTGTCCCAGGAACGGGACTTGATTCTTGAAGAACTCACACTTGGACAGTTTGGCATACAACTTGTGCTCGCGTAGCTTGGCCAGCACGCGGGCGACATGACCTTCATGGGTCGCTTCATCCTTGCTGTACACAAGGATATCATCCAGGTACACGATGACAGAGTTGTCGAGCTCTTGGCGGAACACATCGTTCATCAGCTGCATGAACGTGGCAGGTGCGTTCGTCAATCCGAACGGCAGCACTAGGAACTCGTACAGTCCGTAGCGAGTCCTGAAGGCGGTCTTGTGGACATCATCCTCGTGGATGCGGATCTGATGGTAGCCTGAGCGGAGGTCTATCTTGCTAAAGACCTTTGCTCCACTCAGACGATCCATCAACTCGTCGATCCTGGGCAACGGGTAGGTGTTCTTGATGGTCTGTTTGTTTAGTGCGCGATAGTCGACGCACATCCTGAGATCACCTTCTTTCTTCTTGACAAAGAGCACTGGTGCACCATACGGTGACTGGCTCGGGCGGATGAACCCATGGGCGAGGAGGTCATCCAACTGGCGCTTGAGTTCGTCCATCTCCGTCAGCGACAGTTGGTACGTCGGTCTTGACGGAGGCGACGAGCCTGGTTCGATGTCGATGCGATGATCGACGGTGCGTTGGGGTGGCAGGCATTGTGGCAACTGGTCGGGGAATACGTCCTTGTACTCGTCGAGCAGCTTGGTCACCACAGGCGGGGGACCGGGACCGGCTTGGTCGGTGTCGTCGACCTCACGCACGACACAGAGGAACGACGTGTCCTTCTTGATCAGCCTCTTGAATTGCATGGCTGAGAGGAGAGGTGGCATGTTGGGTGAGGCCATGCCCTGCAGGACAATGTCAGGGCCAACACGGACAGTGCGGCCTTTCCAGTCGACGACTGGAGTCGGCTCGGCACGAGCAAGCCAGCTCATGCCGAGGATGGCATCGAACTTGGTGTCGATCACTTGGAACAACAGGACAGGATGGTACTTGGGATGGAGGGCCACTCGCAGGACCACTTGGTGTGTGCACTGCTGCACACGATCGTCTGCAAGCGCCACACTCATCGGCGACTTCTTCTTGGTTGCATGTATGTTGAGCTCCTGGAGCAAGCGTCTGCTGACAAAGTTGCAGCTTGCTCCAGAGTCCACCATCATTCGGACGGTGTGACCTTGGACGGTGGCAGGGAGGTACAGCAGGGACTCTTCATGGTCCTCCTGCACAGCCTCCTGCACCATGACTTGACTTGGGGGAACGGGCGACACTTGGTCTTGGTTGGCTTCATCACGGCCACTCGGACATTTTGGATAGGGTTCGGCCATTGCGGGGGCCTGCGGCGTCAGCACGCCATTGCACACGACGTCCACGGCTTGCGGACACATGTCGGAAGCATCCGACACACACGACTTGACAGGGGTGAGGGCACAGGCGGTCCTGTCCCTCAAGGGTTCTTGATTTTCTTTTTTGTTTTGGTTTTCAATTTTGGTTTTCTCTTCACGTTCGTGGAGAGGCAGGCGGCTTGCGCCACCATGCACCTCTCGCACGACGCACAACACTTGGTTTGTTTCTCCTTCGGGGGAGGGGGCGAGGTGAACTTCCTCTGGAGACGCGTGGACTGCATTGAGCAATCCACGGCGTTGGTCTCCTACTAGGGCTCCAGAGCCACCTAGTAGGGTCGGCCGTTTCCCGACTTCATGGGGCACTCCTTGGCCTGGTGTCCCGGTCGGTGACAGAAGAAGCAGGAACCATGGCGGAGGTCCTCCTGCTTCTGTCTGTCCTTGGGGGAGACAGTGGCAGCTTGCTGGAACCGGGAGCGGGGAGGGCCACGAGCCTCCATGGCGTTGACGTCAACGTCCATGGGCTCAGGCATGGGTCTTGCGGGCGGGGCCGGGCGAGGCGGACGGGCTGGGACGTGATGAGACCGATGGCCGCCTGCCAGCTGCGGGTAGAACTGGCGGCCATGGTACTGGACGTTGTCGAGGTTCTCGGCAACGTCCATCATCACGTCCAGGGACTTGCGGGCATCAGGGTTGCTGGCGATGTACTCTCTGATCTTGGGCTTGAGGCCCTTCTGGAAGAGGTACATCGCATCAGCAGAGCCCAGCTCCTCAATCTGGGAGGAGAGGTCTTCAAACTCCTCGATGTAGCGGGTCACAGAACCACGCTGCACGAGAGAGTATAGCTTGTCACGGGCAATGAGTTCAGCATTGGGGCTGCCGAAGCGGCGACGGAGGCGGTCCTTGAAGTCGTCAAACACACCTTCGCTCTGCTCGTCGAACCCTTGGCGGCGGTACCAACGGTACGCCTGGTCCTTTAAGCAGAGCTTGGCGGCGACGATGTGGTGGGTGGGGGCGACTTGGGCAGCATCGAGGTAGTCCTCGAGTTGCTGCAGCCAGTCCTCCACCGAGGAGGAGCGGCTCTTCCCAGTAAACACTGGGGCACGGAAGGTCTTGAGGAAGGCTTCCGGAAGTGGGCGGGGGTTGCTCATGGCAGGGGCAGGCTCCAGGGACAGAGAGGAGAGTCGGTCGGCAAGAGAGGCGGGATCCAGCTTGAGGATCTAGAAAGAGGACAAACAGGACGAAAACAAGACGAGGATTTCCGATGCTACCATGTAACGTCCACTACTGGGACGTTGGGGCAAGACGGGGAGGGAGGGGGTACAAGACAAGACAGGACGGGGCAGAACAGGGCGGTGCTAGGCTACTCTAGCGGACGGGTGAGCTCGGGGAGCACTTACGTTTATTCACGATAAAACCGAACTCCAGACAAACGGGGGGAACGGGGGCAACCCGCAGGTATACCCTGCGGTGGCCTGCCTGCGGTGCGTGAAAACGCAAAGCGCAGCACAGGTCACGACCCACTGCGCCGCGCAGTACGCGCAGTACGCGCAGCACAGCGTCGGAGATACCATCTCCTACACCTACTGACCCATCGTGTCGGTCGCCCAGACAGCGGATGTCCCGTTGTAGATGACCAAGTTTCCGTCGTTTTGCATCGTGAGTGCCGTTACCGTTCGTCCATTTGTCTGCGACGACCACAGAGCAGTCTTGGTGGAGTCATACACAACCAGGTTTCCGTCGGTCTGGAATGACGCTGTGTATGGACCCTTACCTTGCCCGCTCGTACCTGACGACCATGTAGAGGCACCGGTTTTGTTGTTGTACAGCACCAGATTACCGTCTTGCTGCATAATGAATGAATGCATGGAATCGGGTGATGTCAGTACCGTACATGAGGCAATGTTTGTACCCGGAGCAATAGACGAATTGGTCGATGCGACGGCGGTCACTGGTGTGGCGGCTGCACTGCACTGAGCACTAGCGGCTGCCGGAACAAGCATCGGTCCAAAGTAGAAATTCTGGTTCGCCCCACCACTGCACGTCCACAAATCCAGAACCGTCCCGTTGCTTCGACCGTTACCTTGCAAATCAAGACACTTGGTACTGTCGGGTCCCCATGTCCATGTCGATCCACTGCTCGTGTTGTTCGTCCAGGTTTGCGACTGGTCCGTGATATCACACGTCTTGATGACAATGGCGCTGCCAGCAGCAGCACTCGTTCCACCGGTGGGTGCGAGACACTTCATGCTGGTTTGGTCAATGAGACGCTGGTTAGTGCTGTCGTATCCAAAGTTTTGCCCGGATCCGTTCGAATAGTCCCAGTAAACCACAGCCGTGCCATCCGCCGTCTGTCCACCCCAAGTCGCAAGGCCGCGTGCGGCATTGTCGTTCGTTCGGAAAATGGTATAAGACGATGCTCCAAACGTCGGCTGCGGGGTACTACCTGATGCCGTTGTAGTCGTGCTTGGTGTGGGCGTTGTGTTGCCACTGCCTGTTCCGCTGGGTGTCCCGCTGGTCCCGCTGGTGCTGGGAGTGCTGCTACTACCAGACCCCGAGCCACTCGAGCCACTGCTTCCGGAGCCGGTACCCGTTGCGCTCGGTGAACTGCTACTGCTGCCACTGGTATTGGTGGTGTTGCTGGTGTTAGGTGAACTCGAGCTGCTACTACTCGAGTTACCGCTCGATGATGACTGCATGTAAAAGTAATAGTATAAACCAACGCCACCGCTCGCCATCACAGAGCATATACAAACGATAATGGCAACGATGATAATTACCGTAGTGTTCATCGACGAATCGTTCTGCTTTGTGGCTTCATTTTTTTCTTTGACAGGCCGATCGAGTCTGGTCGCAAAAAAATCCAGCCATTCATCAGACAAAATCACATTCAATGCCCTCTAACGACCTGTCGTACGTCGCAATCGTCGTCGTGCTGATCCTGACTCTGCTGTTTTTTGCTTCGCGCATGCCCTCGATGGAGTATCTCACTCCAGTGCCAGCGGCTCAGACTTCATCAACCATACCACGCGCATCCCTTTTGTCTTTCGCCCTGGACACGACGCTGGCTGACATCAATGCATTCTCAAACTTGGCCAATCGTTCGACGCTGTACGTTGTCGACAAGGGAACCAACGCCCTCGTGAAGCTCACCAGCGCTGATCAAAGCATGTGGGTTCGTCGATTCACCTTCCCAGGCACCGGCCTGGACTCGACCACACTCCCCAGATACGCATTCTTCTTGACGACCACAGGTGTCGACTGGCCCCAGAAGGCGACCCTGCAGCTCACTGCCAATACCAATGGGGTGGTGTCATCGTCCAGTATCGATATTCGGCAGTTCCCTGGTGTCGCTCGCCTCGTCATCCCACCACCAACGGGCAGAACAGCGGATACGACATACCTCTACAGTTTCGCCTGGCAATAGGGGGGCGACGGATCGATGGGTTGCTGGACAGGCGCCTGGTGGTTGGGTGGTTGGCGTCTGACGCGTCCCACACTCCAGTGTGGTTGCATCCGGTTTTTTTTTCGCGTTCCGGCGTCCGGAACCCGCCTCACCGCTCCTTTTCCTTGGCGCCCGCCCTCTTCCCCCCGTCCGCCCTCCACGTCGTCCGCCACCACCATCTCCAGGAAAGTATATCGTCGCTGCCTGCAACACCACCCACACCCTCACACCCCCGCTGCTGTATGCTTCGCTGGCTCTGCTCGGACCTCTTATTGAAACGTCTGCCTCTCTGTTGTGGGATACTCTGGTGTATTGTTTGAGCATTGGGCGATCTCATCATGAGGGAGTTCGTGAATATACACGGGGAAACCTCACTGCGGGGAGGACAGACCTATCAACGGAGGGATGGATGAGCCGCAATACCACACCTTCCTTAGCTTAGAATCATATTGTTTCGATATTTGATAATCGATCTAATATTTTATGACTTCCTATTTGCTTGCTTCCGTGACCCGGCTCGAATAACAACAATGTCGGACTCAAACGCAAAGGAGCGCGAAGTGGATGAATCAGGTAAAGGAGGAATGGAGTCTCTGTTCGCTTATGCTGATGCGTGTGGTGGATGGGTTCTCTGTTCGCTTATGCTGAAGCGTGTGGCGGATGGAGTCTCTGCTCGCTTATGCTGATGCGTGTGGTGGATGGAGTCTCTGTTCGCTTATGCTGATGCGTGTGGTGGATGGAGTCTCTGTTCGCTTATGCTGATGCGTGTGGTGGATGGAGTCTCTGCTCGCTTATGCCGAAGCATGTGGTGGATGGGTTCTCTGTTCGCTTATGCTGATGCGTGTGGTGGATGGAGTCTCTGTTCGCTTATGCTGAAGCGTGTGGCGGATGGAGTCTATTCGCTTATGCCGAAGCATGTGGTGGATGGGTTCTCTGTTCGCTTATGCTGATGCGTGTGGTGGATGGAGTCTCTGTTCGCTTATGCTGATGCGTGTGGTGGATGGAGTCTCTGCTCGCTTATGCTGATGCGTGTGGTGGATGGAGTCTCTGTTCGCTTATGCTGATGCGTGTGGTGGATGGAGTCTCTGTCCGCTTATGCTGATGCGTGTGGTGGATGGAGTCTCTGTCCGCTTATGCCGAAGCATGTGGTGGATGGGTTCTCTGTTCGCTTATGCCGAGCGTGTGGTGGATGGAGTATCTGTTCGCTTATGCTGATGCGTGTGGCGGATGGAGTCTCTGTCCGCTTATGCTGATGCGTGTGGCGGATGGGTTCTCTGTTCGCTTATGCTGATGCGTGTGGTGGATGGAGTCTCTGTTCGCTTATGCTGATGCGTGTGGTGGATGGAGTCTCTGTTCGCTTATGCTGATGCGTGTGGAGGATGGGTTCTCTGTTCGCTTATGCTGATGCGTGTGGTGGATGGAGTCTCTGTTCGCTTATGCTGAAGCGTGTGGTGGATGGGTTCTCTGTTCGCTTATGCTGATGCGTGTGGTGGATGGAGTCTCTGTTCGCTTATGCTGAAGCGTGTGGTGGATGGGTTCTCTGTTCGCTTATGCTGATGCGTGTGGTGGATGGAGTCTCTGTTCGCTTATGCTGATGCGTGTGGTGGATGGGTTCTCTGTTCGCTTATGCTGAAGCGTGTGGTGGATGGGTTCTCTGTTCGCTTATGCTGATGCGTGTGGTGGATGGGTTCTCTGTTCGCTTATGCTGATGCGTGTGGTGGATGGAGTATCTGTTCGCTTATGCTGAAGCGTGTGGTGGATGGGTTCTCTGTTCGCTTATGCTGATGCGTGTGGTGGATGGAGTCTCTGTTCGCTTATGCTGATGCGTGTGGCGGATGGAGTCTATTCGCTTATGCCGAAGCATGTGGTGGATGGGTTCTCTGTTCGCTTATGCTGATGCGTGTGGTGGATGGAGTCTCTGTTCGCTTATGCTGATGCGTGTGGTGGATGGAGTCTCTGTTCGCTTATGCTGATGCGTGTGGTGGATGGAGTCTCTGTCCGCTTATGCTGATGCGTGTGGTGGATGGAGTCTCTGTTCGCTTATGCTGATGCGTGTGGCGGATGGAGTCTCTGTTCGCTTATGCTGATGCGTGTGGTGGATGGGTTCTCTGTTCGCTTATGCTGATGCGTGTGGTGGATGGAGTATCTGTTCGCTTATGCTGATGCGTGTGGTGGATGGAGTCTCTGTTCGCTTATGCTGAAGCGTGTGGCGGATGGAGTCTATTCGCTTATGCCGAAGCATGTGGTGGATGGGTTCTCTGTTCGCTTATGCTGATGCGTGTGGTGGATGGAGTCTCTGTTCGCTTATGCTGAAGCGTGTGGTGGATGGGTTCTCTGTTCGCTTATGCTGATGCGTGTGGCGGATGGAGTCTATTCGCTTATGCCGAAGCATGTGGTGGATGGGTTCTCTGTTCGCTTATGCTGAAGCATGTGGTGGATGGATTCTCTGTTCGCTTATGCTGAAGCGTGTGGTGGATGGGTTCTCTGTTCGCTTATGCTGATGCGTGTGGTGGATGGAGTCTCTGTTCGCTTATGCTGAAGCGTGTGGCGGATGGAGTCTATTCGCTTATGCCGAAGCATGTGGTGGATGGGTTCTCTGTTCGCTTATGCTGATGCGTGTGGTGGATGGAGTCTCTGTTCGCTTATGCTGAAGCGTGTGGTGGATGGGTTCTCTGTTCGCTTATGCTGATGCGTGTGGCGGATGGAGTCTATTCGCTTATGCCGAAGCATGTGGTGGATGGGTTCTCTGTTCGCTTATGCTGAAGCATGTGGTGGATGGATTCTCTGTTCGCTTATGCTGATGCGTGTGGTGGATGGGTTCTCTGTCCGCTTATGCTGATGCGTGTGGTGGATGGGTTCTCTGTTCGCTTATGCTGATGCGTGTGGTGGATGGAGTCTCTGTTCGCTTATGCTGAAGCGTGTGGTGGATGGGTTCTCTGTTCGCTTATGCTGATGCGTGTGGTGGATGGGTTCTCTGTTCGCTTATGCTGATGCGTGTGGTGGATGGGTTCTCTGTTCGCTTATGCTGATGCGTGTGGTGGATGGAGTCTCTGTTCGCTTATGCTGAAGCGTGTGGTGGATGGAGTCTCTGTTCGCTTATGCTGATGCGTGTGGTGGATGGGTTCTCTGTTCGCTTATGCTGATGCGTGTGGTGGATGGAGTCTCTGTTCGCTTATGCTGATGTGTGTGGTGGATGGAGTCTCTGTTCGCTTATGCTGAAGCATGTGGTGGATGGATTCTCTGTTCGCTTATGCTGATGCGTGTGGTGGATGGGTTCTCTGTCCGCTTATGCTGATGCGTGTGGTGGATGGGTTCTCTGTTCGCTTATGCTGAAGCGTGTGGTGGATGGGTTCTCTGTTCGCTTATGCTGAAGCGTGTGGTGGATGGGTTCTCTGTTCGCTTATGCTGAAGCGTGTGGTGGATGGGTTCTCTGTTCGCTTATGCTGATGCGTGTGGTGGATGGGTTCTCTGTTCGCTTATGCTGATGCGTGTGGTGGATGGAGTCTCTGTTCGCTTATGCTGAAGCGTGTGGTGGATGGGTTCTCTGTTCGCTTATGCTGATGCGTGTGGTGGATGGAGTCTCTGTTCGCTTATGCTGAAGCGTGTGGTGGATGGGTTCTCTGTTCGCTTATGCTGATGCGTGTGGTGGATGGAGTCTCTGTTCGCTTATGCTGAAGCGTGTGGCGGATGGAGTCTATTCGCTTATGCCGAAGCATGTGGTGGATGGGTTCTCTGTTCGCTTATGCTGATGCGTGTGGTGGATGGAGTCTCTGTTCGCTTATGCTGAAGCATGTGGTGGATGGGTTCTCTGTTCGCTTATGCTGATGCGTGTGGTGGATGGAGTCTATTCGCTTATGCCGAAGCATGTGGTGGATGGGTTCTCTGTTCGCTTATGCTGAAGCGTGTGGTGGATGGGTTCTCTGTTCGCTTATGCTGATGCGTGTGGTGGATGGAGTATCTGTTCGCTTATGCTGAAGCGTGTGGTGGATGGAGTATCTGTTCGCTTATGCTGAAGCGTGTGGTGGATGGGTTCTCTGTTCGCTTATGCTGATGCGTGTGGTGGATGGAGTCTCTGTCCGCTTATGCTGATGCGTGTGGTGGATGGAGTCTCTGTTCGCTTATGCTGATGCGTGTGGCGGATGGAGTCTCTGTTCGCTTATGCTGATGCGTGTGGTGGATGGGTTCTCTGTTCGCTTATGCTGATGCGTGTGGTGGATGGAGTATCTGTTCGCTTATGCTGAAGCGTGTGGTGGATGGGTTCTCTGTTCGCTTATGCTGATGCGTGTGGTGGATGGAGTCTCTGTTCGCTTATGCTGATGCGTGTGGCGGATGGAGTCTATTCGCTTATGCCGAAGCATGTGGTGGATGGGTTCTCTGTTCGCTTATGCTGATGCGTGTGGTGGATGGAGTCTCTGTTCGCTTATGCTGATGCAGTGTGGTGGATGGAGTCTCTGCTTCGCTTATGCTGATGCGTGTGGCGGATGGATTCTCTGCTCGCTTAGTGCTGATGCGTGTGGCGGATGGAGTCTATTCGCTTATGCCGAAGCGTGTGGTGGATGGAGTCTCTCGATCACTCTCCATTCAAAACCAGACCCATCCTCTGAATATATATCCCATCCACCCCCATCATCGGAGTATTACCTCGTCCAAGCGCGAGAGGGGAGGAGTTTCCAGTTCGATTCTGTATTGGCTGGCTGATGTTGTGTCATCCCCCATACATATGCACCAGCTCCTGTAACTTTTCACGAGCTCCTGGACAATTGTTGTTGTGGGCGGATATCAAAAGATCCCTTGCCTTAGCGATCAGCTCTCTATCGCGCCGAGTTTCGGGCATAAGCTCATAAAGATCGATTAAAATTGTTGCCAAAGCCTTCATTGCCAGCGGGTTTCCCTTGTCGACTGCTTTTTCCAAAAGGCCGCTAGTTTCAAGACCGGGATATGTCCTGTTGCTCCGAGCAATGCAGTAGGCAAGGCGCTCGGCTGCTGCGGCGGAAAGAGTCCCACCCCCCTTCAACGAACTGAGTATACCAATGGCTTTGTCGATCGACGGAGTTATCCCATATCCGGTAATGTAGAATGTGGCGAGAATAAACTCGAAAAACTTGTCGTTTCGCGACGCCAGTTCACACCAGAGGAAACATTGCTTTGCCATTCGCGAAGTGTCCTGGTCAGCTCCACATTCCATCCGCACATTTGCGACTTCTTCAAATGCATTCTTCCAGTCAGGGAAACTCAAATGTCCAGCGGCGAGCCGCCAGAAGCGTAACGGCTGAACGGTATCAAGGTATGGTTGGACGATCTCCACCGATCGACCCTGTTTGATGTGTGCCTTGCAGTGCTTGGTGATATGATTCCACTGCCCATATGCACTGGTGGCATTAACATTGCACCCGAGTCCAATGATATGATGCCATCCCATGTTGAACCGGTATTCGAGGCGTTCGCAAAATGATGTTTGCTTCGTGCTGATCTTGTTTTGCATCGCCCTATAGATGTCGGTCCAGCCGGGTTCATGGTATATGGCCGGGTTTGTGTTGCTGCGTAAGATCTCCCGGACATACTGGACATATAAACCGATACCACCGTTGTCGATGGCGGTAGCAGCCGCTTCGATGTGCTGCTGTGTCGTTTTCCGTGGGTCGAGTGTGATGCCCGGTGGTTGCTCCGTCTGAACCTCGGGTGATGGTGGATTATGCTTGTTGCCGACAGCTCCATCGAGCGGATTATGGATTTGCTCGATGAATTCAAAAGGATCGTCGCCGTCGATGGGATCCTGAAGGATTGTGGCCAGAAGGGCGTCGTCCATGGCAAATGGATCGAATTCAGCGTTTGGATCGGCGAATATATCGGTTTCGGTTCTCGTCGACACCTAGTCCGCTTCGAATTGTTGGATACTGCCGCTGTCGACGACTTCAAACTCGTATTCGGTCGATACAAGGCTCTGTGTGATCCGATTCCGGGTTTCAACAGAATGTCTGTCAAGTCCACCCATAGTTTCAAAGTCTTCGAGGATGTATAGGATGTCGTCGAAGCTTGTGTCATGAACACCCTCTGCCTTTGCCCTCTTCCTTCCTTTACCCTTGCCCTTTCCTTTCTGTTTGCCTGCCTTAGTGCTTTCCCTTCCTTCTGTTTGTTTGTTTCCCGCGCTGTGCTGCCTTGTTATCTTACCGCCAGCACGCGCGCTGTCTGTGTCCCGTTCCCGCTTCCTTGCTGTTGGTCATGGGATACGCCCACGACGCCGCCTCGACGCCGCCTGACGCCTTGGCGCCGCCATGCCGCCGCCACTGACGCCCGCTGACTCACGGATCCCGAGTCACGGTCGCCACCTGCTTCGCTCGCTGCTTCGCCCTCCCCGCCGCTGCTTCGCTCCTGCCCCCTCGCTCTGCAGCGTCGATCCTTGGCGCTCGCATAAATAGCCCTCCGACCAGCCTCTGTCTTTTGCCTTCGTCTTGCCACTTTGTATTTTTAGTATCCTAAGCCTTGGATCTAGAATAAAACTTTGGCTTCACACTTGACACTCTGTGTCCCAGTCCAGTCCCCGCTCCTCTCCCTACGTTCGAGTCTTGCATTAGGACTCTTGCGCACTTCCCTGCTTGCCCCGTTGTCCAGTCTTGACACTTGGCAAGACCTTCAACAACCCCCCACTTGCCCTGCCTTTGCCCCGTCCCCTTCTCTATCTCTTTTACCAATGGCTTCCCCTTCTGGCCTTTCCGAGCCCGAGCTCCAGGCCATCCGTGCGGTCATTATCCAGTCCGCCGAGAACGCCCGTTCTCTCCAGGACTTTTCCAAGTTCCTCCACGATCAGGATGATGCGCTCAACCGCATCACCGATCGTATGGACCAGGTCCTGGCTCGCCGTGAAGAGGATGTCCGCCAAGTGGTCGCCGCCAGTGTCCAGGAGGCCCTCCGCAGCTACCAGGCCCAGCTACCTCCTCCTGCTCCCGCTCCCGCCCCGATCCGTCGTGCAGGTCGCCCCTACTTCGGCGTTCCTGACGACGTCGATGATCCTGCCCAAGACCCCGAGGACAACCCTGCTGGTCGCAACTCTGCCACCAGGCAGATAGGTCCCCCTGA